TTAGAAAATAAATTTGAAATACTTTCTTGAATACGCACCAATTGATTTCATTTTTCTTCTTGTCAGATTTGTTTGCTAACCTCCAATAACAAAGTAAAGATCTATTTATCAAATATACATAATTAAAAAATGTAAAATATATGCTAATAATATCACAAAAAAAAGTTATTTAAAAAACTTACGATTCAAACAATGCCTTCATATCCTTACTTACTTCACATTGTAATGAACAGAATCTACTGTAAAATAAAGTGAATTATAAACAAATATCAACTATGGTTATCAATTACATAATTATATTCAAATATTAACAACTAATTTATCTTTTGAAATTTAAAAAAATTGGTTGTATAATGACTTATAAATTAACATTTCCTAAGCATTAAATCCTCCAAATAAGGTTACTGGTTTCCAATAAATCACTAATTTCAGAAAATTAAATCCAATATACATGATATTATCTATTTATAAAATATAATCAATCAAACAATTAACAAGCAATTATCATAACAAAAAATTAACAAACAACTTAATTATAATTAAATTTAAGAAAATTAGAATTAGACAAATGAAAAAAGGATGCGTGTAAAACTATAATTCCAAGGATTTTGCATATTATGTGGAGCGTGGACCCCCTAAAACTCATTCTGGTTTGTGTTTTTGATTAACGCAAATCATGTTCAGATTAAGTTATGCTGTTAATGGTTAAGTACATTGGCCATTTGTTTGCAAGTTATTCAAATTGATAGCATCAAGTTTGATATACATGATTATTATGGCTCACCAAAACCGCTGGAAAAATGGAATAAAATGCTGGGGAAATGATAGGGAAAAAGTTAAAAAAAAACGGCTGGAAAAATGCTGAAAAAAGTAGAAAAAGAAATCCTGGAAAATTTTGGAAAAAAGTTTTTAAAATGCTGGAAAAATGCAATAAAATACTGAAAAAAATGTTTTTTTTTTTAAAAAAAGTACCAGCTGAGAGGCAGCAAAGAGCTAGAGGGCTCACAAGTGAAGGAAAGAAGCCAAGAGAGCTGTGGGGCGGAGCTAAAAACCTAAGGAAAAAAGTTATGGGAGAGTTATAGAATGATTTGTGGGAGGTGGAAGCAACTATGAAATTGACATACAATAGCTGGAAGTTTTACCATCTAAAAGAAGACTTATGACGACAGGTCTGCATTAAACCTGTCACCATAAATTATTTTTAACGACAAGTTTAATTCAGACCTATTGCCAAAAGCCACATTTTAAAAAAAAATAAAAATGAAATTAGAGACATATGGTGATGGGTTTGATAAGACTTGTCACTATGTCTTTTTTTTTTTAAAAAATATTACATTAATTATTAATTAATAATTATTGTAATTAATAATTAGTTATTTTAAATTATTAATTAATAATTTAAATATATTAAATTATCCTTATTAGCTAGTAATTTAATTTTATCAATTAATTCAATTTTTTAATTAAATATCATTTAATTAATTTCATACTTTAATTAGTAATTTTAATTAATTATATTAATTCAATTAATTAATAACTTAACTTTTTAAACTTTTTAAATGTAATGCAAAAGACCTGTGGTGACAGGTCTCCATTAAACCTGTTGCCAAAAATCACTCTAGGCAATAGGTTTAATGGCCGCTTGTTGCAAAAGTCATCTTTAAAAAAAATATAAATGAAATTAAAGACATATGGCAACGGGTTTAATGAGACTTACGGCCGTATGTCTTTGTTTTTTTTTTTAATTATTACACTAATTATTAATTAATAATTAATTTTAATTATTAATTAATAATTTAAATATATTTAATTTTCTTAATCAATTCATAATTTAATTTTACTAATTAATTTAATTTTTAATTAAATATAATTTAATTAATTTCATATTTTAGTTAATTAAATTAATTTAATTGATTAATAACTTAATATTCCTAATAATTTTCCTAACTTTTTTAATTTAATGATATTTAATGTGCCTAATTCACAACTTAAGTTTAATTAAATTACTTAATTACATAAAATTATATATTATCAAATAAAGTTAATTAATTAATTAAGTGTCTTAGACACATTTAATATATATTAAACTTAATTAATTAAGTTTCTTAGACACATTTAATATATATATTAACTAAGTAATTAATTAAGATGAAATGTAATAACAATAGCTTAGGGTTTCACTCAACCAAAAGAAGACCTGTGATGGCAGGTTTAATAAGACCTATCACCATAGGTCATTATTTAAAAAAATAAAATAAAAATGAAACATGGAGATAAGTGAGAGCTGTGGGAAAAAGTCTTTTCTATAAGAACATTAAAGTAATTATTAATTAATAATTGTCATGATTAATAATTAATTAGTTTCAACTATTAGTTAATAATTTAAATATATTAAATTCTCTTAATTAATTTATAATTTAATTTTACTAATTAATATAATTATTTAATTGAATTTCATTTAATGAATTTCATATTTTAATTAGTTAAGTTAATTTAATTTATTAATAAATTAATTTTTCTAACTAATTTATTTTTTAATTTAATGTTTTCAATTTAGACAACTTATGTTTAATTAAATTACTTAATTCATTAAACTTATATAATTAAATTAAGTTTATTAATTTATTAATTAAGTGTCTCAGACACATTTAATGAATATTAAATCAAATAATTAATTAATTTTTTTTACTAAATCATGTAATTAATTAAGATTTTTTATTAAATTTATAGAATTTACTTTAATGATTTACAGTGACAGTTATTACTTATGACTGTGGCCATAAAATCCATGTTTTCTATTTATTTACAAGTTTGCTATTATATCATTTATTACCATAATTATTTTAAAAATTGTGACAAAAATGTGTCGCTAAAATCCTGTTCTGCACTAATGGATATGCAACAACAATTAAATTCTCTTTGCCTCCTAAAGAGGTGTTCACAAGCTGCCAATCGAATTAGCATGAGTCAAAGACCTAGAATACCAAAGTGAAAGTGCAGGAAAAAAAAAGTGCCCTACTTCACTTTTTATTTCCACATTATAGGACATTACTTCTTGTTTTTTTACCCCCTCAAAAAGCACAAGATGGAATCATATTATTCAAGGACTTTTTAAGAGAATTATTTACAAACAAAGACTAATAATAAGTCATCATTTGAGGGAAAAAACAAGCCTCTGTTACCATTTTAATAACAAATAATTTTATATTAATTTTTATTTGTGAATAATTCTTTTGAGAGGTCTTTGGACATGATTCTTCTAAAACACAATAATTAAATAATGGTGCTAGAAATTACAAACAAAAGCTGTATAAATGTTGAGTTGTACGTTCTTTGAATTTTTAATTGTAATTTACTGGGATAAAAAATCATTTTCTTTTTAAAGTCTCGCATAATGACTCAAAGTACCGTGGTTAATTTGTTGTGATTTTTTGTAAATTTCTTTTCAACCAATTACATATTAAACAAATCCTAATAAATGTATAATGAGAAAATAATCAATTTATTAATAAGGTGCATGAGAAAATTAAATATATTGAAAAGTAAGGAGACTTAAGAAACATGTTGCTTTGACTCTGTAGATGACCATTCAAATAGTATACTTGAAGGTCAGACACTATGATTGCACTTCTATAATTTCTCCTAGAGGTCCTCAATTTATTTACTTCTTCCTAATCTTAGAAGTCATTTAAAGAAGTTTTGGCTCATCAATGATCAGTTTAAGAAAATCATTCAAATTTTTGAAAATATGTTGATATATTGCATTTTAGATTTTGAATAATTTTCAAATAATATTTTTTCTAAACTTCCAAATCTGACTTTAGTATTTTCCAGGCTTGCCAAATTATCGGCTTTAATGGAGATATATGACACATGAATTTAAATAAATATAGAAGTATATGTTTTAAGTTGAACAATAAAAATAGCAGAAGGGTGGTGCTGCGGATTTACCATTAAAAAGAAATTAAAATAATGCATTAACGACAACGATAGAGGTTAAAAAAAAAAGGTCAAAAACAGTGAGACACTATAAAGCAATGATAAAGCATCGTCAAATGGTCCTGTCCCTTTCATTCTGCAAAAGTGAACACTGTTGTCCGTAACACGGTTTGAATGAGAACGCGCGAAGACTTGAGAGAAGACTTGGGCACCTGGCCTTCCAGTTGATCTCGTGACTGCTTGTTGAGACTTGAGAGAATTATTATCAGTTCAAGATCGATCAAATCTTTTCGTATTACTTCATACTTCAGATTTCTACTTTCTTCCTTGCTCTGTTCTAGATTTCTTCTGTGAACTGAATGGTTTGGATCTCTGAGATTTCGCTTTGAATTAAACATCCAGCGTTAATGAGATTGAATATCTACATAGATTCTGCTTCCGTTTAATTTATGCCTCAAGAGCAATGGCGGATTCAGGATCTTGAGCCGGGGCCAGGGCAGTGAATAAAAGGAAGACATTTTTATTTTTTTAAAAATAACTATTTCTTTTTTTTTCTTTCTTTTTCTTTATTCCATATCCAGCTTTTAATTGTCAATTTGTAAGTGCAGCAAACTAAGAAAAACATTCACTTAATTTATTCTTGAGTTTTGAGTATTCATTATTTATCATTGCTTTTTTTTTTAACCAGTCCATGAGTAGTATTTAGGATGAGGAGCCAGTCTATTTAGTCATATTAATTTTTTTTATTTTTTAAATAATTAATAAAGAATATTGATATTTAGGTATAGTGAAATTGTGGGCTAATATTTATGAAGCTAAGTTAAAAATTTGAATATATTTGGGTTTAAAAAAATAATATTGAAATCAGTTTTAAAGTTTAAAATATAAAAATAAAAGGGTGAAAAGTATAATAAGCAAAAGTTGTAAAGGTTAATAGTATCCGTTTCTCATTGCTACACTTCGTTTGTTGAAGTTCCTATTTCGTTCGTTTGCGTGTGTATATTCTTTCTGATTTTGTATTTTTCACTTTTGTACTTTCGTTCAGACTCTGAATCCTTGCAATGGCACTTGATTTTAATGGAGTTCGGTGTTCTTCAAGCTCTTACGGATCAACTATGAGCCGGAAATATGATGTGTTTTTGAGTTTTCATGGTGAAGATACTCGCACAGGCTTTACTGATCATTTACATGATAATTTAAAACGCAAAGGATTAAGAATTTTTAGGGATGAAGAAGGACTTGAAAGGGGAGAATATATCAAGACAAGTTTACTACAAGCAATTGAAGAATCTCGTTCTGCAATTGTTGTGCTCTCCTCAAGATATGCTTTTTCACCATGGTGTTTGGATGAGCTCCAAAAGATTCTTCATTCTAAAGAAGAGTTGAGTCTTCAAGTATTTCCAATCTTTTATCATGTAAATCCATCTCGTGTTAGAAAACAAGAGGGAAGTTTCGAAGAAGCATTTATGGATCATGAAAAAAATTTTACTCAAGACAAAATGAAGGTTCAAAAATGGAGGCATGCTTTAGAAGAAGTTGCTAGCTTATCTGGTTGGCACTTACCGGAACGGAGGTAATCTATACGTCTCTCAATAACTATCATAGCCTTTTATTCAAATAAACTATAACCACATCAAGCTTTATTTATTTCCTTTTATATTTTTTTTCGTTTTTCGAGAGTTATGTTACTTAAAGCTTTCACTAAAAGAGTCCGGTTTCGGCTTGTTGAGTGCTCATCATAAAAAAGGATCTGGAAAATCTAAATGGTCTAAATTTTTTCAATTTTAATTTTATAAAATAAAATTTATAAAGTTTTTTTGATAAATATATTTATCATCAATCTAGATAGAACTGATTAAATTTGGATGGTTCAATTTAATGTTATAATTTTCATAAATTAACTATCTGGATGTACTCTGAACAGTCTAGATTCACCATTAAATTTTTATCTGCAAGGCCTAGATTTAAAGTTTTTATTTTTATTTTATATTTATTAAAATAAAAAACTTATTAAAAAAGTTAATATTAAATCTGTCTTATATAGAGTACATCTAGATAATTAATTTATAAAAATTATAATATTAAATTGAACTACTTCGAGTCTCAAATTAAATTAGTACTGTCCAAATTGATGATAAATATATTTATCAAAAAATTATTAATTTTATTTTATAAAATTAAAATTAAAATGAAAAAAATATGAATATTTTTATAAAATTAAAATTAAAATTAAAATTAAAATTAAAAAAATTTGGACCATCCAAATTAAATAGATGGCCTAGATCCTTTTTTATGATGAGCACCGAAACCCTAAAATATAGTATAACGTTAAAAGAAATTGCCATGATTTTAAAAGTTAGCAGTGAAATTGTATCAAAAACAAGTTTAACGTGATAGACACTTCTAACTTATAATTTAAAGGTCAAGGATTTATTTTATCCTATTTTAAATGATGAGTCTTAGAACCAGGCTAAAATGAGGAAAATAATTGTAAGTAAACTACAGTTTAGTTAAATTAGATTTATTCTTATTATAAAAAATTAAAACCCAACTGTTTCCCTTTCCAATATATTAATTTAATAATTACGATAAAGTAGATATAGGCACATGGAAATATTCTCAATAATTGTAAATTAAATACTAGATTTCAAAAGGGGCATGATGCCTATACTTAGATCTAGGGGTTTTGTTTATATATATATATATATATATATATGTACATCAAGGAAGTTAAATTGATGTGAATATTCTTATTAATTAAAGTCAATGTCGGCCGATGCAAATAAATACTAGAAGCTACATTCAGCTCTTCTATGAATGAAACTATCACTTATTCCTACACTATCACTTATTCCTACTAAGTTAACTTCAGTTTCATGGTAAACTTAAAATTTTATGATTCAATTGACTTAAATGAACATGTTATTTTCAGGTAAAAAATAGATCATACTATAACTCTTTTCTTTTTCTATGCAGATCTGAAACAGAATTCATTGAAGGATTTGCTAAAGAAATTATGCCTAAGTTACATGATGAATCGCCATTTGACCTTGGTGGATTAGTTGGAATTGAATCAAAATTAAAAGAGTTGGAATCAATCATAGAAAGTGAGTCAAAAGGAGTTCGATCTATAGGAATATGGGGAACAGGAGGCTTAGGCAAAACTGCTCTTGCTCGAGCTTTTTATGATCGGAAGTGTAAAGATTTTGAGGTTTGTTGCTTTCTTCATAATGTCAGAGAGACAAACGAAAAAGGTGATTTGATTTTGTTGCAAAGAAAACTTATTTCTTCTTTGAATAAAAGCAGTTTGGAAGTGGATGATTGTCATCAAGGAATGAATTTGATAAAAAAAATGTTAAAGGATAGAAAAATTCTATTAGTCCTTGATGATGTGAGTGATATAGGCCAACTTGAATATTTGGCTAGAGAGCAAGGATGGTTTGGCAATGGGAGTAGAATAATAATAACAACAAGAGATAGGCATTTGTTATCATCGTATAGTGTATCTACTCAACACAACATCAAATTCTTGAGTGATGACGAGTCCTTTGATCTTTTCTATCAACATGCTTTTAAAGGAAAAAATCAACCAACTGAAGATTACTTGGAGGTTTCTAAAAGTGTGATGGAATATGCTGGAGGCCTTCCTTTGGCTCTTAAAGTGTTGGGTTCTTTTCTTTGTGGAAGAACTATAGAGAAATGGAAGGATGCACTAGCTAAGTTGAAGAAGGTTCCTCATGATCACATTTTGAAGATACTTAAGGTTAGTTTTGATGGATTAGATGAAAAGGAGAAGACTATATTCTTGGATATTGTTTGCTTTTTTAATGGGATGGCCATAGGCCGTGTCATTCAAATTTTAGAAACTTTGGATGAGGATCTTCACCCAAAAATTGGAATAGATGTTCTTATTGACAAATCATTGGTAATTAATTCTGAAGGGCATTTGTGGGTGCATGATACGTTTCAAGATATGGGTAATTATAGTGTTTCTGAAGAGTCACTTGATGATGTTGGCAAGCGTTCTAGGATATTTTCTTTGAAGGCTGCCGATTATATCCTAAAAAGAAATAAGGTAACATCCCTTAAGTTTTTGTGATTGTTACGTGCACAATTTATTTAATAGTTTATTTCATGAATTTTATACATGATTAACATGACTTATCATTTTATAGGGGACAGGAGCAATTCGGGGTATAGTTCTAACACTAGAAAAATCATTTGAAGCTTTTTGGGATCCCGAAGCCTTATCAAAGATGAGTAATCTCAAGTTACTTATCATTTCAAGTGGCTCATCACATGTTTCTGACTGTCAATTGAAACTTCCTCGCGGACTCAAGTCCCTTTCCAATGAGTTGAGAATTATTGAATGGGAGGGATATCCTTTAGATTCTTTGCCAAGACGAACTCAACTTGATGAACTTGTTCATCTGAAAATGCAGCATAGCAAGTTAAAAGAACTTTGGAGAGAAACGCAGGTAATTATGGTCTTTCACTTTAAATTGTTTGTCCATAATTTAATATATTTATTATTAACAAGCTTTTGGTTTTTGAGGGCATATGGATTTCTTCCTTCTTTCTTTTCAGTCGCCACATAAGCTCAAGTATATAAACTTATCTCATTTAACACACCTCATCGAAACATACCCAGATTTTGATGGAATTCTTGGTCTCGAGAGATTGATTCTTAAAGGGAGTTCTAACCTAGTTGAAATTCAGCAATCTTTTGGCCAACACGAGAATCTTGTCATGTGCAAAAACATTTAAAAACCTTCCAAGAAAATTTGAAGTGAATCGCTTAGAGATTTTCTTCTATCTGGTTGATTTATAGAACACTATTATAGTTAAACTACCTGAAACATAGGCCAATTTGTTTAGTCCTATTGAATTAAATTTGATGGGCAGCACAAATATGATTTTTTTTATATAAAAATTATCATTTAAAATGAAATTTAGTTAGTCAAAACAACCATAGTTAATTGCCTTTCTATTAAAAATAGTTATATTTGATTTTAAACAATTTTTGTTTTTATAATATTTTTTATTTTTAACTTTTACTTTTCATGTTGGCATTCAGGTTTTAGGAAGGCTTAAATGCCTTGATTTAAGGCATTCATTAAAACATTTATGGCCTTTCTTTTAAAGATAGTTATATGTAATTTAAAGCAATTGATACTTGTTTAAGATTTTTTTTTTCATTTTTAACTCTCTTTTTTTCATGTTGGCATTTAGGTTTTAGGAAGGCTTAAGTACCTTGATTTAAGAGATTCAAGAGATCTAATCAAAGCACCAAATTTTGATGAAATCCCTGATCTTGAAATACTCATTCTTGAAGGTTGTGTAAACCTTGTTGAAGTACATTCATCTCTTGGACGCCATAAGAATCTTGCCAGGGCCAATTTGAAGGGTTGTAGGATTATTAAAATTCTACCAAGTAAGTTTGAGATGAAATGGCTACAGACTCTTATACTCTTAGGCTGTTCAAAAATCAAACGACTTCCAGAATTTGGGGAAAGCATGAAATGTCTATACCAACTTGATGTGGAAGAGACTAGCATCACAAAACTACCTCAATCACTTGTCAATTTGACTACTCATGCTGTTTTAAATCTTAGGAATTGTGTAAACCTTGTTGAAGTACATCCATCACTTGGACACCATAAGAATCTTGCCACAATCAATTTAAAGGGATGCAAGAGTATTAAAATTCTACCAAGTAAGTTAGAGATGAAATGCCTGGAGACTCTTATACTCTCAAGCTGTTCAAAAATCAAACGACTTCTTGAATTTGGGGAAAGCATGGAGTGTCTATCCCAACTTGATGTGGAGGAGACTGGTATCACAAAACTACCTCAATCACTTGTCAATTTAACTACTCTTGCTGTTTTAAATCTTAGGAATTGCAAAAGTTTGGTATGCCTTCCCAATGTGATTCAATATATGAAGTCCATTAGAATTCTCAATTTTTCTGGTTGCTCAAAACTTTCAAGTCTTCCAGAGGTTTGGAATGAAAATGTGGCTTTAGAAGAGCTTGATGCTAGTGGAACTGCTATAAAGGAAGTGCCTTCATCAATTTGTCAGGTAAAAAATTTGAAATCATTATCTTTTAGTGGATGCACTGGACAAGAACAATCATCCTTGCAAAATTTCTTTTGTAATTTCAGCTGGTTCTCTAGGATTACAAGGCCTTCAATATCCACTGGGTTATTGCTGCCCGCTTCTTTACCAAGTTTATCATCATTAACAAACTTAGATTTTAGTTATTGCAATCTCTGTGATGAGTCCCTTCCTAATGATTTTAATGCATTGTCATCGTTGGAGCTGCTTGATCTGAGTGGAAACAATTTTGTTAGCCTACCTAGTGGCTTTATCTCTAACCTTTTAAAGCTCAACTGGGTTATCATCAATCATTGTCCAAGGCTTCAGTCATTGCCACGACTTCCACCAAATATATCTTGTACAGATACAGGTGATTGTCCCTCAATGACACTTAAAACTTGGTCCACAACAACTATGGGAATTCTTTAAACAATTTGAAGATAAGGTTGGTTTGATTTTCTCATTAGGATGTTTCTCACACATTATAATCATTATACTTATCTAAAATATATATAAAAATATAGCTTCAAAATAGCACGAATGTAAAAGGGCGTTACATTTTGGATGTTCTTGAAAGTTTAATTATATGGTTGTTTCTTGAATATTATAATCATCACACTTCTTTAACATGTTAATAATATTTGTTCCAGGATGGCTTCATGTCAAATTGGTGGTTCTTTTTAAATATTCCAGGAAGTGAAATGCCATCATGGTTTTACAATCAAAATTACTTCTATGAAAAGGCTTGGTGGTTCAAACCAAATGTGTCAATTATAGCGGATATAGATGATCAATGCCTTTCAAGTAAATGTTGTGGAATAGCTGTATGCTTAGTTGTAGAAGGACGTGGTTTTTCATCTACTACTATTGAAAATGAAGGACCAGTGTTGTTTTGGAGTCTTATATTTCCTTACTGGCCGAGCGGGTTCACTTGGTTTGGGCTTTGGCGTAATAGCCAACTCATTTTATTATTTATTCCATGCTTTGATAAGGGAAAACATCAAATTTCTTTTCATGTTGGAGAACGGGCAGAAATAAGAAGTGTGGGTGGCGTGTGGTGTGTAAAGAAGATGTTGAAGCATTACGAAGAACAATGGGTGGAGGATGCAGTAGCAGCAATGATTCAGACGACTGCCACACTTTTAATGATGATGATGTGGACACCCAAACACCTCTTGCTAAACGCCAAAAATTGGAATAAATGGTTCCAGGTACGCACGTCAGCATTATCTTTTTTTCCCTCTTTTTTTTTTTATGGATATCTAATGCTATTTTTGTTACATATATAATATCAGCAACATTAACATTATTCGCCTACGTTACGGCCAATGGCAGTCGTTGGTTAAAAAATTATTGTATTATTAATCTCTACAATGTCACAGAATTTTGATTTCATCTTTATAATATAAATCTAAATAATTTTTAATTCAATCTTTATTATTATATTTTATCAATATATTGCTACATATTTGAAAATATTTAGCTATACATATAAAACTCAATACTTATAAAACTTAATCAGCATGGACCTATTTTAAAAAATATGTAGACGGTGAATGTACAAATATCAATGTTAAGAAATTAGACCTACTATTAAATCAGCAGAGGTACTCATTCATGGTTCAATGGTTAAATCGTGATTTAAACCATAATTCAACTAGTCATGAGTAAATTGATATATTTTAAATTTTAAACAATATATGTTTATAATAAAAATAAATAATTATATATTATAATAAAAGTGAATTTTTAAATTTCAAACAAGATCATAAAAGATAAAAAAGGAAATATACATTGTTATTCCATCATTTAAATCCAATATACATAATTTATAGTTTATAACTTTAAAATATGTGCATATCTACATATTCTATACATATTTCTTGCATATTTGTTCTTCTTCATTTATCAATGTTTATTATGTATAAATATGCATAAATTTTAGTTTATAAATATGAACTAATTTTTTTAGAAAAATATTAGGATCAATTCAACTAGATTTTTCACTAATTTTGATCGATTCAAGACCGATTATGCTAATTCTTGATTGGTTTTCATATTAGCCAATTCTCTGCTGTGACTAGACTGGACTTAGGATTGATTTCCAGTTCAACTGGTTGAACCGATCGAACTCGTCTGATTTTAACAACATTGACAAATATAAACTTTTAAACTCATTTGTTTGATTTATTTTAATTGTTCACTTTGAAGTTCTTTTTCTTGTAGGTTTTTTCTTTGCGAGGATTCTTTGTGATTGAATGGTTCTTGAAGTTGGTTCCTGCCAGCTTGCTCTTGTAGTGTTTTTTAAACCTTTATTTTTAAAGTTGAGCGTGAATTTTAACTAAACATCAGGAGATGTTGCCTATTGATCATTTGGTTTAACTACATCTTTCTATACTGAACTTGGTTTTGAGGATTAACTTCTCATCACCTTCAATGTGATTTAGTGTGGGACTTCTTAAAGTATGTGGTGTGATTTGATGTTTTTAAAATTATGCTTGCAAACTCGACATTATTACAGAAATGGGTTGTATGACTTACAAGATTGCACATATAGGAGCATTTTTTCCTAAAAAAAAGTTCCTGTACATATGACCAGAACAGGGACCGTTTTAAAATATAAAGTTTCCCTTACATGAAAAGAATATATATATATATATATATAAAGGTTTCCGTAACACATTTGAAAGCTTTTAAGACGCATAAATTCCTATACACCTTTTTGTTTTGTTTTCCCTTGTTTTTTAATGCATGGGAACCTCTACTTTGACAAACACTTCTTGAATAATTTTTTTTATTTTTTTTTAAATTGTATTGCTGGAATCGATTTTGAAGAAAAAAACTCTTAAAAAATGATATACTTATAATAACATGAATCTTTTTAATTTTTTTAAAAAAATCTATAACAATGTGCTTAACTATATATATATATATATATATATGATCTTTTAGTACAAAATGTTTCAAGCCTTAAGGAATTTATAAACATTTAATATATAATACATATATTATTTTCAGAAAAAGATTTGGGTGTTTGAACTAAACTTGAACCAAATTGGCCTGAATGTAATTATATGTGATTTTTCTAAGCTTGATTCTAAAAATTTTTGAGCTTATTTCAATTTATTCATTAGGTTTGGTTCAAATTATTGGCTTTATCTACAGGAATATGACTCACAAATTAAAGTAAGTCCAAGAGATAGGGGAACCAAGTTCCAAATGATGCTAAAAAAATCTTGGGCAACTAATGTTCAAAATCACACAAAGGACGTTCTCATATATTCAGGGGTTGCTCATTTGATAAAATTGTAATGATACACACACACACACACAAGATAATTGGAAAGAAATATTTTTGTATATCTATGCCTATGTGTGTTAATTAAAAGAATGTCATATATAGGAGTCCCACAAGAAAATTGGTGTAAAGTTAAAATATTTTATTCATTATCATGCAAAAGGTTACTTGGTTCACAGGTTAAATTGTGAAATGCTATTGAATGATAGTTTTGTGAACTTTCACGGATTGTGATAGTACTGTCACTATTAAAAAAATATAAATTAGCGAGGAAATTTAGCGAGAGATTGTCTATTCCTCTCTAAAATACCAAATTAGCGAGAAAATTCATAAGGGATGTTAATTTCATAACTTGATTTAAAATTAGCAAGAAAATTAGCGAAGAACTGTCAATCCCTCTCTAAAATAAAAGAATTACTGAGAGATTGTCAATTCTCCTTTAAAATAAGGACTGTCAACTTGGTTCCTTAAGTTTCTCTTATTTATCGATTTAGTTTGTTAAGTTTAGTTTGTTTATAGCTTTGGTCTTATTATTGGGCCACACAAGCTCCTAGACACACGGACCTATTATTGGGCCTATTTTCAGTTACCTTTTTGTTTTTTGCATTGTCACTTGCGTTTGGGTTTCTTCATTTTTTGAGCTCCAAAAAACATTGGGCTAACAATTTTTGTGTTCAGTTTGCCATCACTTGTTGTGGAATTAACATATAAAATTTTGAAAATTTAAATTTAAATATATATATATATATATATATATCATCTTGTAATTTTGCAATCAATTGTTGCATAATTAACCATTATAAGAGTGTTTTGGTGATTTTTTTTTTCTAGTAAAACATTTTTATTAATAAATAATCATATTGAAGAGCACCCTTGGTCCACATTGTTGTGTAGGACAAAAATGAGGAAGAAGAGATTGGGCAGTGAAGGGTAACAAAGGAGGTCCAACAACAATGGGGAAAAAAGTTGGCAGAGTAGCTAGTCAAAGGGTGAAGGAGAAGAGAAGCAATGAGAAGGTGGAGAAGAAGGAAGAAGGCTATGTAAAGAAGAAAGGAATAAGACATTGATGTCAATACAAATTTAAATTGAGGATATTTTGGATTGAAAAAATCCATTCCTTGGGAATGGACCCATTCTCATGGTCTCTTTAATGGAATGAAAATTACCTCAAACAAGGTAATGGGCCATTCCATTAAAATGAGTTCACTTATATACCAAACAATTAAAATAGTCATTCCTTTATTTATTTTTATTCCATCACCCATCATTCCTTTGTACCAAACGGCTTTATAGGTAAGTATTACCTTTTAAAATTTTGAAAATTTAAATCTAAACTTATATATATATATATATATAAATTCTCATCTTGTGCTTTTACAATTACTTGCCATAGAATAAACCATTGTAAGAGTGTTTTGGTGATTTTTTTAGTAAAATGTTTTTATTAATATATCACCGTATTAAAAATGTTAAACAAATATTAGACTCCACACCAACTATGAGACTTTTATGAATTAGGTTTATTATAGACTTTCTTTAAGTGAAATGCTTGTTGTTAAAATCAATCCACATTCAAGCGGACATTTGTCTTTTGTCTTTTTCCTTCTTTCTCTAATTTCTTGCTTTTATATTTTGTTTTTCCTATTTTTTAACTGTGTTTGAACTATTTGTCATTTTTTTTTAAAAAAAGAAAGCATTCCATTAAATATTTAAAAAAAAACTAAAAAAATGAACATAGCCAATTAAAAAGAAACAAAGATGAAATAAACAACAGAGAAAGATAATTGAAACACGTTAAAAAAGAATCGTAGGCTCATTGATGATTTCTATCCAAGTCTTCTATGTCTTCTCATTTAAAAATGTTTAAATTATTTTTACTATGCAAATTGTTTTGTTTAAATTTCTCTGGCAAAAACTTATATAATATATATATATATATATATATTTTTTTATAGTCTGAGAGAGAATGAAATAATTTAGAGTCCAGATATAGGAATCAACGGGATCCTTTTGAATTATACTAAATATTTTATTGCGATTTTAAATTAACAAATTTTCACAAATTTTTGTAGTTATTATTGTCTATGATTTTTTGTTTTTGTGTACCGAAAAAAAGAAAGAAAACTAATATATATTAGCATGCTTACTTTTATGTTCTAGGAGTGCTCTGTTTATTATTGCCACGTTATTCGAACATTACTTTTAATGAAACACAATAATTAAATAATGGCGCTAGGAGTTACAAATAAAAGTTTCAGCAATTGTTGAGTTCTACGTGCTTTGAATTTTTGGTTGTGATTTTATCACATAGAAAAATCACTGTATTTTTAATTAGATGCATGAAGAGGTGGCTAAGACGTGTTTTGAATCCCTGCACTTTGCTTAAATTTTAGTATAGGTTCTTACACCTTTTTTTGTTATTTTAAGTTTCTATATTTTTATTTTTTGCTGTTCTAAGTTCCTATAGTACTGCTCATGAAAGGATTTAGAACAACAAAAAAAAAATGTAAAAATCTAGAACACTGAAAAAAATACAACTTATAATAAAATTTGAATAAAATACAGGAATTTAAAGTTATGTTTTCTTATTTATTCACATTAAAACGGTGATGGAAATTAGTGACTCTTGAATGGGATATGTAAATAATCCAAATTAGATTTAAACTGTTTAAATCTAAAATTTTTATTTTTTTTGGGTTCAAAAATCGTTATTGAGGCTTTTAAAAGGTATGTCACCTAACCTTTTAGTCCATGGATTTATTTCTCTGAACACCATGACGCTAGATTGGCACGGAAATTTATTTATTTTAGGTTATTTATGATTGAAAATTATGTTTTACTAATTTACTTATTGCATTTGAGGATAATATACATATAAAAAGGTGAAACAATTTAAATTGTTAGAAACTTATTTATTTTTTACGTCATATATCAAAGTATACAGAAGCATATGACACATGAATTTAAATATAGAAGAATATGTTTTAAATAGTACAACAAAAATAAAAATAGAAGGGAAAGGGTCTGAATGGGATCCATCTTGGATGCTCATTTGGATCATCCAGTTGATTTAATAAATTATTTTATATTTTATTAAAATTAAAATTTATAAAAATTATTAAAAAGTAGTAATAAAATCTTTTTTATTATTAATCAAAACTAGGTTTAATTTAGAGGGTTTAATTTAATAAATTAATATTAAAATTTTATATGTTAATTATCCAAATGTATTCTACACTGTCCATATTTAAAATTTTTAACTTGTAATTTTTTTAAAAAATATTTTATATTTTTATTAAATCTAGACTAAACAGAATACATCTAAGTAATTAAAATATAAAATTATAAAAATTTTAATATTAAATTGAACCATGCAAAGTACATTTGGGCAGTCAATATATAAAAATTATAAAATTTTTAATATTAAATTAAACCCTTCAAATTAAATACAGATCTAATTGTTGATAATTTTTTATAATTTTTATTTTAATAAATATAAAATATAAATATAAAATAATATATTAAATTTAAATTTGAATGGTTCAGGTTTCATCACCTTAACAAGCACCCAATATGAATCCGTTTGAATGTGTAAGATGTGAAAAAAAAAAAGGTGAAAAAGCCAATAAAGCAATGAAAAGCATTACACGGTTTGATGCTTGAAAGCATTTTCCTTCTCATTCTTTCTCCACTTTTCTTTAATTTGAAGCAGCTGGTGACTTCATCATATTACTTTGAAATCAAACATATCTTTCAATATTACCTCATCATTCTTCATGTTTCTGCTTTCTTCCTTGCTTTGTTTTAGATTTATTTTATGAATTTTGCTTTGAATTAAACATGGAACGTCGACGAGAAAAAAATATATAGAATGATTATACTTCCATTTAATTTTTGCCTAAAGAGTGAATGAATCTTGCGGTAAGAGAAAATCATGCAATTTATATTATATATTGTTTTCTCCAGTGAAATAGATTATTTGTTGGTTTCTGTCATGGGACTTTGTGTGGCTGTTGAAAAGTTTTTCTTTGAAACTCAAATAGACAGGAAAATTTGTCATGGAAATTTACAAAGTTTAGTTTATTTATCATTTTGATCCTTATTATTTAAAGAAGATGTAACACTATTGACATTTGCTGACATGGATAACAAAATATTGATGATATATAGCTAGGTAGATTAATACAAAGAAGTGTAGTTATTTATGTAAAAAAAATAGACACAAAAATTTTAAAAATGAAGGAACAAAACAGAGCCTAAATGATTGGATTAATAAAAATTAAACTAATTCAAGGATTAATTTATTCGCATTTAACTACATACATTTTACACATTAGATTAATTTAAGACACTAGATCTATAATTAATTATGACTAGCTTAAATAACTAAAAGTTTTATTATCCCCATTGAATAATTTTATACATATGGTGCATTTTTAAGTGGAAATTCTCTTGTACAATTAGCATAAAATGCTTGATTACATGACATCTTTGGGAGTGTCCTTAGGACATAAACGCTCCCATATGCTTATTCTAAAAAGCGCTTTAGAAATGCTTCCATATTTATGGGAGAGCTCGCTAATAGATCTCGTCAAAATTGCTGCTTCAACACTCTTGTTACAATAAAATGCGTGATCCTTTGCTAATAGTATTAGTTGTTTCTTATTTGCCATAGTTTATGATAGTCAATTAAATTGATTAGAAACGTTAAGAGACTCACACAAGCTCTTAGACATATGGGCCTATTATCGGGCCATTTCCAGCCACTTTTTTGGTCACTTGCATTTCCGTTTCTTCATTTTTTGAGCTCTTTATTTTTTAAAAAAAAAAAACTGAGCAATTTTGTATTGAGTTTGCATGTACTTTTGCACGATGCATATTGAATCTTCTAAAGGTGATATATTTCGATCTAAGATTTTGAAAATTTAAATTTAAATATAAAAACTATATTTATATTGTCATCTCGTGATATACATGTTCATTGACAATTATTAGCTAATGAACTAAAAACTCTGGTTTCTATACACAAGTTATTTAATTTGCTCTTCGAGAATTCCTGCAAACCTCTTTCTCTTCTCCTTTTTTCTTCCTTCTGCAATATTATTAGGTATACTAACAATTGGATTGTAATAACCCATAAAGTTTTGTGTAAAAAAAGAAATTAAAAAATAAATCAAAAAATGAAAAAATTAAATTAAATAATTATAATGTGTATTAATTATACTTATATTAATTTTGGGACCATTATGACAAGAAGGAGTATTGGTGTAGTGGAAGAATGCATGCAACACAACCATCAGGTCCCAAATTCGAATCTGACTAAGACCAAAATGGGGATTTTATTTTGTTTTTATTTTTTGAAATTACCAAACTACCCCTCTTCAATCTAATAAAGCTTATCATCCCTTTCTTTGATTGTTCGAGATCTGTCGAGAGAGAGACAGAAGTGCTCTGCCTCATGCTTCATTCCTTCACTCTTCCTTTGTGTCTTCGATTCCTTCCTTTTCGTTTTCAGCCATCACTGGCGTGACCTTTGACCGCTGATCTATCACAGTTGGCTAGAGTTAGAGCTCGTTTTTTGCTGTTGGAAGTCGACCAAAATCTCTTCCTTCTCCCTTTTACGAGCTCAGCATTTCACTGGGTTGAGGTATAGATTATGGGATCATTTTGCTTGTGCTGCTGTCGAGTTTTATTTCTATTGTGCTCTTGGTTATGATGCTTCTTCTCTCTACTCGATTTTGGCTGCTACTCTGTTCCTGTAAACTATGTCCACGCGTTGCTAACGGGTGGAAGAAATCAGGTTGCGGAATTGGTGGTGCTGGTCATGAGCTGAAATTGACGCTGATTTTAGTCTTTTTCCTTTCTTTCGAGCAATGCTTTGTCTTCCTCATTTCCTTGCTCAGCTAGAGATCTCATCTTCTCTCTCTGTTTGATTGGCAGTCTCTTGATCTCTCCCTCTTTCATTGTTATTGGTGATTAAGGTGAGGATTTTTTAGCATTCTTCCTTTGTTGAGCCGTATGAGAGGGAGTGTGAGTTGATGGCTAAAATTATAGAGTTCTTTGATAGAATTTTGTTGCTTCCCGTACGTTGTAAGAAGAAGGTTCAAATTTGAGTTGAAAATTTGACTTAAGAAGGCTTGGTCGATATACATATGGGTCATAATTTTGGAATTAAATTAATTCTGTTTGAAATGGTTGATATAGTAAACGCAGGAGAGCTATTCCTACCGCATCCCCAAACAAGAAATTCGGTTTATTTGCTTCACCAGGTCCGAAAATGCCAAGAAGCCAATCCAAAAACAATCTTCCAATTCTCATCCCTGGATGTCAAGTTATACCTCAGCCACTCCTTATTTTGTAAAGAAAAAAAAAAAAAGTACAGAATCAACGTCAGACATTCTTCAACAAACCTATCCTCTATTTTATCTAACTTTAATTAATTATTATTATATCTAGGCTTTTGCTTACATGGTCTAATTCATCAAGGATGGGCATGAACCATAACAATTAATACAAGTCGACAAAGACACATCTATTGATGTCTTTATCTAATCAAGTACGTAGTCAAATTTAATCCTGGTTGCCAAATGAAGTTTAAAGGAAAAACTTATATACTTAACTTTATATACTTAAAGTGTTTGTTTTCAGTTAAATTATTTGTAGATTATTTATTCTATAACAACTTCTTATTATTGATATTATTAACATATTAAAATTCACTTGTTTTGATTTGATTGGATAAAAATATATTAAATATATAAGACTAAGTACCTAAGTTTTGTTGGTGATTGTTGAAACTGGCAGGTAGATTTAAAGTCTGAGTCGTGCTAAGGACACTGACCTTAAGAACTATTCCGTCACACTAGATTGTTCGCACGGCAGCTCTCTAGAATTAAACAGACTCATCCTGCAAATTAAGCAGGGACACAGAACAACAAAGACAAAAAGAATATACTCAAGCAACACAATACATAGGAGGAGCTTGAGAACTCTAGAGCTTGGCATCGGGTACACTGCACTCCTGGGCTATATATAGTGACAACCAGAAGGTCCCCTTAATAAACCATTAAACATCAATTTTAAAATAATTAAAACAAATTAAGCCTCATAACTTGGACGGTTTTGAACGTTAAAAAAGTTATTTAAATAAATATTAAACCCTTCTAATGCCATTAAATCAAATAAAAGGTGATTAAAATCTTTCAAAACTATAACTCCAAGTTGGTAAAAATAAGATTTAAGTAGGGGTTATAGAAATCAATATTAATAAATTATAACAATTCCTTTTGAAATACCCATGAATATTTTATAATATCCAACAAGTTTTGCCCTTGTCTTGTGTTTACTTTAGTATTAAATTATGCTTGTATTTTAAAAATCACGAAGAGAATGAAAATAATATGATTGGATTAGATTCGAATTACCAAGGCCAATTCGAATTATTCACATTACATGAATTTATTATATAATAAATTCTTATTATTAATAGTATTAACATATTAAAATTCAAATTGCCTTTCTGAGTCAGAATTCTTCACAACACATTCCCTTGTTAAATCAGCACCTCTCTCATAATTCCCACGCAAAACTTGTGCACAATAAACTTTGACGCTTGGAAATAACCTGCCAACCTATCTCCCCCAACAAAAGCATCATTCATAGCCCCTAAATCCTTCAAACTGAACCCCCAACACGGCAAACACTTTTGGGAGAGCATAAAATGTTCCAGCACAAGGCATTCACCTTCCTTTTATCCTTCATCGCTTTCCATATAAAGTTTCTCCGAATCCTTTCTAACCGCTGACACACACCCGCAGGAATATGTTGCTTTCTACGTTTGATATACATCTATTTGACCAGTAACTGCTAGTGATAAACACTGTTTCTTCCAGTTGCTCAACTTATTCTAGATTCTACCAATAAGAGATTGAAGCTTCCCTTCGTGATGAAAGCCTTCAAATAACGCCCCAATTCCTTGATAGAGTAGTAGCATGGGATAATGGGTGATGTGTGGGGGAGTTAGAGAGATATTTGGAACAATTATTATTTTCAAGTTATTTTAGATATTATCTGCTTAATAATATTTTTTTTTAGATTATTTTTCTGTTTTTTGTTGAGTGGTTTTAAGTTTAAGAGTGGCGGGTTATGGTACTTGTAGATTAAGTCAATAATTTTATTTATTTATGTATATTTTAGGTAGTTATCTCCCATATTATCTGAGTTATGGATTAAGGGGAGTATTTATAGGAATTGTTGGTCATTTTTTTATCTATACATACTAAGTCACAACTTGTAGAAATCATCTAGAAATAAAATTAAATGTAGCATAAATTAAAACGACTGCATACATAAATAAAATATGCACAACAACTTACAAATAAAATATGGAGTTCTTAACTGGAAAATATTTTTAATTTCATATTACTACATATCAGCTACATCTTCTTTTACATGTTTTCTAACATTAAAATGGTGCTGGAAATTAGTCACTCTTGTTGGGGCATAAAGGGAAGGATTTGAACTTAATTTGTGCACATGCTCATTCTTGAAATTTGATTTAGACGTTAAATTTGAATTTTTTTTAATTCCATTTTTTCTTCAAAAAATAGTTATTGAATTTTTTTTAACATACATGTTGCTTAATTAATCCTTTAGTCCATGGATTTATTTATCTAAAGACCATGTTTTCCCCAAATTTTTTTATGCTACTTATAATTAAAAATGATGTTTTACTTAATGTTTTAAGATCTGGACCGACTTGAACAATTGGACTGTCACCCAAGCACAAAAATGACCAATTTTAAACGAGCGGTTTTGATGGACTTGGAACCCATAATAGTTGGACAGTTTTGAACTATTTTTTCTTTTTACTCATTTTTTAGTAATAAGCTTTTTTTTTTCAATTTAGAAAGAATTTTATTATAGTAAATTTTTGTGTGAATGATTTTTTTATTGACATTACATAATTAAACTTTAAAGAAAATTGAAAACTTATTTACTTAAATTAAGAGGACAAATAAGATAAATTTAAAACATATACATATGAAAAAAGTGAGAAAATTAAAACTTCATATTTTTTTTAGCTAAACAACTTGGAAGAATTACAATCAGGTCCTATACAAGAAAATTAATTACTGCCAGATCCATTGATAGTTGAACCAAATTAATGGACTTGGCAATAATTAATTTTCTTGTGTGGGACTTTAATGTTATTCTCCCAAACAACTTTTATATAAATATTATTTTTATTTAATATTATGTTATTGATTCAAATATTGGTCTAATTGATTAAATCATAAAAACTGTGACTCATTGACATTTTTAGTTTGCTGTCCGACCCAGTTATTAAAATATTGGTTTTACTAATTTGTTTATTGCATTTGAGGATAATATACGTATAGAGAGGTGAAACAATTTAAATTATTAAACTATAATTTATTTTTATTCACATCGTACATCAAAGTATATAAAAATATGACACCTGAATTTAAATATTAAAGAATGTGTTTTAAGTTGAACAATAAAAATAGAAGGGGAAGGGTGGTGATTCCCCGTTAAGAAAATAATAAATTGTAATACAAAGTAATTATCTAATAAAAAATGTCTAAAAAGTAAAAAAAATATAGAAAAACACCATAAAGCAATGAAAAGCATCATCTCATGGTTTCTTCTGTCCGTAATGCGATTTGAACTTTGAAGGATGAATGTGTATAGAGCTGACAGAAGACTTTGGCCCCCCCCAAAAAAAAAAAAGGGAGAAGACTGGGTTTCCAGTTGAGCTCGTGACTGGTATTTGACATTTGAGAGTATTATTATACTATTTTTTTGCCTGAATAACTATTTTCCTATTAAAAATATTAATATTCAAAATATTGTTGCGTATTAAATATTGACATCTTTCAAATGAATACACACGAGTTCCATTTGGCTCACTCCCTCCATTTTGCTTGACAAATCAAAATGTTAATTTCTAACAAGATATTGAAAATTGAATTGATTATTTAACCAATTGAGATATTGGTTTAAAGGTTAATGATCAAAATGGTATTTGAACTGTGATCAAATTAATTACAAACAAAATATTTTATTAAAACTGGTCAAGATATTGGTTTAACTAGGTGAGCTGGTTTAGATTTTGATATTATAATTTCCAATCAAATTCAGGGCTATCTTTCGAGAAACTTCTCATAATTAATTATTTTGACAATTCGAAGAATTTCTTTTCAGTTCCTTGGCAAATTTAAGGTCGCATGTATAGAATGAGAGAAGCAGTAAGCTCTTGATGATTTTTTTTTTTAATCTAAAAGACTCTTAATGATTTCATTCCCAGTCTTCCCTCTCTTTCACACATACATAATTAAAAAAAAAACTATTCACAATGTTTTGTTTAACTTTATCCATATATATATTCTTTTTGTATTTGATTCTTTTCAATAAAGGGTAAACAAGCAAATTAGTTCCTAAATTATAGGTACCAAAAGCTTTTGAGATCTTAAACTCATCTTTTGTGCAATATTCTCTTTCAACTTTTGAAAACGGTATAGTTGACCTTTGCCATTAATAAAAGTTAACTTGGATCATTAGTGTGATTAGAAAATGATAAAAAAAAACTAAAATTATACAAAAATGACCAAAAAAATTTTGTTGTCGCTTTTTGTAATTTTTTGGGTTCTAGTCTTTAATTTTTGAACCCTTTATTATAATTTTTGAGTTTTTTTTGGTAATTTTTGAAGTCATTTTCTGTTATTTTTTAGTTTATTAACAGTAAAAGTTAACTTCTGTTAACAACAATGATTATATTGCACGTTTTCAAAAATTAAAGAGGAATATTGTGCAAAAGATGAGTTTAAGGTTTCAAATGCTTCTAGATCTATAGTTTATGAGCCAATTTACTCATATACCCTTCAATTAAAGTGTCAAAGTTAAGAAATTAAGAGAAAGAGAATAAAAAATTATTGTCCAGATGTAGAAATCAATTTTTTATTTTTATATTATACTCAATGTTTTCTTGTGAGTTCTAAACTAATAAAATTTCACAAATTGTGGGTGATTACTTTCTATGGTCTTTTCTTTGATTGTATATTTACAAAAAAAAAAATTCACAAACAAATTTAATACGCGTGCATAATGTTGGGGAGACAAAATATGCTATTCTCATTGAGTTCATTTTCTTCTACTACAGAAGTGCTCTACTTACCATCGGGCAGCTAAATTAACGGGTTAGAAATTGGTCCAACTTAATTAGATGCCTTGAGTTTGTGCATTAATGATTAAATTCTTGATAAGAGGTATGCCTCTTAAAGAGGTGACCACAAGCTATTGATTGAAATTAGTCTAGATCAAAGATCTAGAATACCATAACAAAAGCCAAAAAAAAAAAAAAAAAACAGTGCTCAACTTCACTTGTTATTATCACATTACGGAACATTACATTTTCCCCCAAAAAAACACAATAATTAAATAATGGTGCCAGAAATCTTACATTTTGGAAATTGCATTGTTTGCACTATTCCCTCGACGGTGAATTTTCATTTGTGCCCTTGTCATTTCTAAAAATAATATTGATTACTCTAGTTCCTTCTTTTTCCAAGTGTACAATTTTCACTGTTCCTTATACAGTAAATTTTTAACATTGCCCGTTCAATTTTCAAACAAAATATTGGTCCAATCTTATTTGAGCTTCCCTCCCCATTTTTCCAGCTCTAGAATGTTCTTTTTTTCTTGTGCCTTTTTCTCATTTCATGCCCATGCTTCTTCTTCCTTCAATTCTTTTTGAAAAATAATGGTCTTCATAATAAATTGAGGAGGTATATGTACAAAAATTTGAAAAT